CAGCCTAAATAGGTTCTTATATATTTGGGTATTAAAATGCCCAATTTCAGCCTGTAGGTTCTTAAATCACTAGGTTCTTATACGCGGGTGTTTACTGTAGTTGCATTTTGCTCATTTATTGGTTAGGTTGAAAACTTGTGCCAAGAGGTTCCTATTGATGATCCTAGTAAATGTCCTCATGCCGCAGAGTGGGATGGAATGACTTTAGAGACTTGGAAACATCAGTCAATATGGACTAATAGTAAGGAGTCAATACATGTACATGTATATAAAATATATTTTTTATATAATACAAGGATTCAGCAGTATGTATAGGATAGGACCTTTAAACTAGTAGCAGTCAAACCGAGGCACTTGCCATTGCAAATTCCTGTAAGAGGCAATTGCATTAATTAAAAAGTTAATCAAAAAGAATTATAAAAGAAGTCTTCTTAAATTAATAAAGATGGTGAATTTTAAGCTNAAACCCCTAGAATTCACCAATACCTATTTAAACACCTGGGTGGAGAGAGGCATTGGTGGAGTAATGCGTCCTACTCAAGAACACAAGAGAATGACCTGGGCTGGGCTCAAGATTTGGATAATTTGGTTGATCTAGAGTCCAGCACGATAGCCATTTAGGTGTGCCTTAATAAAACGTTTGAAGGACTCGGTGGAAGAAGGGTGACAAAGTTTGCTTTTGTCCAAAAATTGCTAAATTTATTTAAATGCCTTTTTCCACTGAGTCCTTAATTTATTAATTAATATTTATTTGTCCGTTTATTATTCTCTGCTCTACCAGTTGTGAAAGAGGTCCTGGATACTGTTGTTGGTATTGTATTTGGAGTGACCCCCTCTCAGATGTCCCTCCTGTTTTTCCTTCACTACCTGCACTGTTCAGGGGGGTGGTCAATCATTGTGGATTCAAGTGTAAAGGGCCATGCTCAAGAGTGGAGAATTAAGGTAAATTAAAACCTTAAGTTTGACAAAGATTTATTTTGTTTTATAAATATTAGATCTCTTGCTTGAGCATTGACTCGGAGATAGATTGACAATGAAAGTCTCCTTTACTTGCGATAACCATTAAACAAATGCAAAATCTTCCATACTTTAAAAGGTCTATGTTAACAAAATGTTAATTGAGTATTGACCATGTGCTACATTGTAAATAACTTTCAAATTGGGGAAAACCTCTGGCCAGTATTATAATTTACAGAGGGGCAAAGAACACCAAGGAGTAAATTAACTCATTATCAGCCATTCCTGGCTATGGTCATTTCCTCACTTCAACTCCTCCAAACAAAATATTTCTTCTGCTTGTCTACAATTCTTTGCTGCATGTCCCACAAAATGAAATGAGACCAAACTCATGCTTGTTGTATATAAGATAATGATAGCCAACTCATATTCAACGTGCGCTTGTGGAATAATAATTATTGTTGAATATATTCAGCATACATGTATGGCACATTGATACAATCTTAAGACTACCCTAGTAGGCTAGAGGTTTTGCATATATTATGTATTTTTAGGGAACTGCTCATAGAGTTACAGAGCTCCTTGCCGGAAGATTGGGAAGGGATAGACTTATATTGAGTCATCCTGTCACCTCGATAAAACAGGTACTGCAGTAAGATCCAGTGTCAGTGCAATCTCTTGGATCACGTTTTCTTTGTTTTTCTAATTTTCTTACTTTATTGGCCCACTTGAAAAACAGGGGTCTAATGCTTTTATATTGCCTAAGAAAGCTTTTGAACAATTTAAAAATGAAATAATTCTTGCCCTCATTACCTGCATGTCTTCATGTCTGCTATGAGTTCAAGGTATTTAATGATTGTTCTACAAAATGAAACCATTGTTAGATTTCTGTAGTTAATATACCCAATGGGGGTTGGAGAGTGGGGTAACTGACAGATAATTTTTAGTGGTCTGGGAACTTGGGTTCTGAGGACTTTAAGGAATATAAGACTATTTTCAATTTTCTATTGACAGTTTCCCCATTTACCCATTCAATAATTGGGGTTACTTTGTTGGGGTACATTCTGGGCTGACCAGTAGGTTTTGTGTGAGTTTGGGTTTACCCCAGCAACTTTCAATTAATTTTTCAAGGGTCTTTTTAACTGAACACCTCCCTCTCACTACTGTCACTAGTAAGTATCCCCCCCTGCAGATCTAAACAAGGTTCTTGAGCTTCAAATGTGTTTTGAAATTGAAAAAATGATAATTCTAATCTTGGCCAAAGGAATTTGTTCATGTACATGTATTTACATATGTACATGTATGTACATATGTACATGTACTTTGAGATTCAAACTTATTATTATTAACTCTTAGTTTCCAGTACTTGTTCATAAAGAACACTGTTGCTGTAATGACTGTTGTTTTGCCAGGAAAATGAACATGTGTTTGTGAGCAGCCTAGTTGGCCAGTCTTACAAAGCCAAGTCTGTAATTCTGGCCATTCCACCACATTTGGCAGGTGAGCACATGGATCCTGGGAGGGGGGAGGGGGGCAGAGAGATACTCCCAGAAAAAATGAGGCGGGGTGACAGTGTGGCCCACTTCCCAAAACTGCTAGGTACCTACATGTATTTAATACTAAAATCTGCAATTTATTGCAATTGGAATCTGTTACTTGGCTATTTATTACCTGACCAAAAATTTGATTCCCTACACTGTATTTTAAGACCTGACCCTTAAATCAATACCCTGTCAGGGTTCGAACTCTTTTAAGCTCTTCAAATTCCATGACTTTCCATGACCTACTCCATGACCTTTTCCTTTTTTCCATGATCTTTAGTTTAAATGTCACTTTTGAAAATTCTCAAATCTATCCTTGCTTTATTTTCAAATTTGCATTTTTTTACGTCATCACAGGCGTTCGCCATAATGCATTTAGTTCAAATTGCCCTTAGAGCATCTGCATGGGAGGCTAATTGCTGGGTTACTCGTTATATTGTATTTTGTTTTTGTTTTGACATGTGCAGCAATGAGACTTAACTATTTAATATTTTCCATAACTTTCCATAACCAACAATTACCAGTAAATTCCATGACTTTCCAGGCCTGGAAAACGAAATTCTTGAATTCCATGACTTTCCAGGTTTTCAATGACTAGTTTTTAGACCTGCTGTATAATTAGTTTTCCAGTTCAAACCAATGTTATATAATAATTATATAACATGGGTCTGAACTAGACAACTTATTATTATGAAAATATTTTCTCATATTTTTATTAGGTAGGATAGCTTCTTCTAAAAAACATATACCCAATATGTAAGACTAGAGTGCAAAAACCATAGCCTACATACATGTAGCTACATACCTACATAGCCCATATCAGGGGGTACCCCCAGGATGGATTCTCAAGCAAGTGTGTTACCACCTTGTGCCATTTCCAACGTGATACTCACTCTGGGGTTTCTGTTTTCAAGGCCAGATTGAATTCAGTCCACCCCTGCCATACAACAAGCAGCGTCTTATTCAAAACATGCCCCCATCACACTTAATTAAGTTTGTAGCGACATATGCCACAGCGTTCTGGCGGAAGGCTGGCTTATCAGGAGACATGGCTAGAAGTACCGCTAAGGGTGTTTGTGAGAATAACCCAGTTGCAATCACATTTGATGGGACAACAAGTGATGGAAGTCCAGCAATTCTTGGGTTCGTTACTTCATATGCAGCAGCCAAGTGGAGCACAGAAACGGTACTAACTGATAATCACACCACTCTGAAGATTCACATTTTTCCACCTCATTTATGATAGTTCAGCTGTTCATAATGACCTATTTTGGATGTAATAGAACACAAGCTTGAATCTGAAATGTGGGGAAATCATAACAATAGAAGTTTAATATATGGGATTCTATCAGAGAACAAAACTTGTGCAAACCCACACTATCAGTTTCTAGAAAGGTGATCTAGAGGAAAAGAAATGTTTTGTCTTAGCTTGCAGCTTTCATTTAATTGTTTCCCTTGCAAATTGTTTGCTGGCATACAACAAAATCTAAAATGCTCTGTGCTAACATTCTTGTAGGATGAAATGAAAAAGAAAGCTATCCTGAAGGCTTTGAAGTTGTATTTTGGCCAAGAAGCAGAACATCCTTTAGATTTCTGTGTCAAGGTGAGTAAATGGTAGCAGTAGCCTTTCCAACATGCAAGACACTGTTAAGTTAAGGCTGAACAGTAGACAAAGTATATCATCACTGCATGATCACTGCAAGCGAGGCGGCGTGGCCGAGTGGTTTACGGCACAGGATTTGAAATCTGGAGGTCCCTAGTTCAAATCTTCTGCCCTACCGCTATCTGGATTTGTTCATGGTGGTCCCGAGTTCAACTCCTCGACCGCGTTGTGTAAATAGCCAACTTGTCAGCCTCCCACCAGGTGGGATTCTTAATAGTTTATGTTATATTTGAAATGTTTGTTTAATTATTTACAGTGTCCCCAAGTAGCACATTAGTGCTAAATACATTGACACTTAAATAAAGTGATTATTATTATTATTATGCAATGCCTTCTTTTAAGGATTGGTCTAAGGAGACATGGAATGGTGGATGTCCTGTAAATGTGATGGTCCCAGGAGCTGTCATCAATTATGGAGACTGTTTAAGAGAACCATTTCATAGGTGAGAAGGACGCAGGGAAAGATGACATTGAAAAATTAAATATTTGTAGGTCCAGAAAATATTCATACATGTACCTCCCCTACAGAAGGGATTTTTGGAAATTGCAGTTAAGCTTCACACATTTCGTTAATGTTTTTGGTCTTACAGAACCTGCCACCCGAGCTTTCTAAAAAGATTGCTTCTGGTATAAGCACCATCAAATGTATTAAGTATTCGGTCCCATAAT